GTGCTAGGCTTGATACCTTGCAAGATGTAGCGCAATCCCCAATGCATGCCTTGGATGCACATCTCTATGCCTGAAGCTTCACTAAGCCTGTCTTTGCAGTTGAGGCTTGCCTTCCTCCAACGATTGATAAAGTCGATAACTGGTTTCCCCTTTCGTTGACGAGTATTTGTAAGCTCTACCATACTCACCGTGCGTCTTGTGCTATAAAAGCGATTGAGGAATTCTTGCTCTAGTTGATCCCAACTGTCGATAGATCCAGCCTCGAGGTCCGTGTACCAGTCAAAAGCATTTCCTTTTAGCAAGCGGACAAACTGCTTGATAAGGTAATCTCCATAAGTTCCAGCATTGTTGCATGTCTCCACGAAGTGCGCAACATGTTGCTTTGGGTTACCTTTACCATCAAACTGTTGAAACTTCGGAGGTTGATAGCCAGCAGGCATCTTCAACATATCGACCCTTGCAGTGTACGGCTTTGCATATGTAAGGGAGGATTTGGCAGCAACTTCATATTTGTTCTTAATGGTTCCTTCGATGAACTCCTTCAGTTGATCGATTAGAATCATCCCTTCAGATGAGACAGGGATAGCCTTAGTGGATGCTGCTTGTCTTGGGGAAGAGTCACTCTCTAGAACTTCTGGGAGCTTGCCAGGTGCATGGGTAGATTCTTCCTCCATCAAGATTCTCACCCTGTCTGTTAGCTTGTCAATTCTAGCCTCTTGATTTTGCATGCATTTGGTCAAGCCAGCGATTGCTTCCGTCAAGTTTTCCAACTGCTCCTCCATGGTTGAAGTGTTTGTCACCATGGCTTGCATGATTGTCGTGGATGAGGGAGAGTAGCATGGATTTTCACACAGATTGATCCTTGATTGGCTCACTCTATGTGGTGTAAGTGAGGAGGATCCATCACTTGAAGCATCATCATCTTCCTTCACAGCAGAGTGCTTGAAGCCGGAGAGGTCAAGCAGAGCAAGAGTTTTCTTGATCTTTTCAGCAACATCGCTTCCTCCTTCAGATGCGTTTGTGGCAGATCTTGCTCCTTTTGAGGATGAAGATCCGAAAACAGGGTTGATGCGGACGGCACTTGGGGAGCTCGTTGTCCTAAAAAGCTTGCTTTGCTCCTCGTAACTGGTCCGAAGCTTCCAAAGGTGACATCGAGGATGCTTTCCGCATCAGCATAGAACCTGGAGTTAGTAGCCTTGGTGGAAGTTGAAACGGAGTTGATTTTCTTTGAAGCCATTTCAATGTTCTTAGTATTTGGTGAATGAAAAGTTGAGATGAGAGGTAGAGATAGTCCCACTGGGCGTGCCAGAATTTGTGGATAATAAATTGCGGACAAGAAAATAAAATCAAGACCGAAAATATCGCAACAATCGTAGTATTTGATTTTGAATATTTGAGTGTACAATCTCTATGATTCCTCTGATTCTACTTTTCTAGTATAAATTCAAGGGCCTTTGAGTTTGATCTTGAATCTATGTTTGTTGCCACGAACGATGATCTTGTTCTTGAGCTTGATTGCTTGAACTTGACCTTGATTGCTTGAAGCTTGAAACTTGTAGAGAAATTTGCGGTGTTTGATCCACGAGCTCTCTCTAGCTTCTTGTTATAACTTCTGGTGTCCTTTTCTGGGTTTTGAAGACCCCTATTTATAGTTGTGGAAGGGAAGAGTTATGATAAGAACAAACTCTTTCCGACCAATCAAATTAAAGTGTGACATGGTCGCATTTGATTGGCCAAAACATGTCACTTGCACACGTGGCGCGATTTCATTGGCCTTTTAGTGTGACTGGGCATGCCTTGTCATTTTGACACATGGCATGATCCTATTGGCTCTTCCGTTCGACTTGGCGCGCCACATCATTTGACACGTGGCATCAAACTGGGCCTCTAGGAAGATGTAATCTTGGGCTTAATGAAGTGGGCTCAGCACTTTAGCCCAATTAAATGGGCTAGCCCAATGGATTAAGACTTATTTATTTAATCCATTTATATTGGACTGATACAATTAATTTAATTATATTAGCCCATAATATTTATTTAGACCAATATTATCTCGAATTTAAAATATAATCCAAATTATTTTATGGATTTAATTTTAAGTAAAAATTTATATGCCTACAGTAGGAAAAAAGTAATTAATTCATTTTTGTAATCTGAAAAAATAACTTATTTTGGACCACAAATAAAAGGCCAAAAATCACTTATTGTGAACGGAACGGATTAGTACATTAGCAGTTGCGAGACAAGGAAATCGATGATCATTAAATGTTAGCGTAGGAGATCGCACGTAAGTCAACAACCAACTCCTTTCCTTTCTGTCTCCAACTCCAACTCTAACCTCGAACGTTGTCACATACTACCGATACCTTAAATTTTTCTCATGTAATTCCCGTGCTCATCCATTTCTCTTTCTTTTCTCCCTACCTACACACATACACACCCTAATCAATGCACTTGACGAGTTAACGTCACCTATGACCCCGAGCACAAAATAAATAACAAAAACAATAATATATTTTATTCCCTCCGTTTTATATTAGATGAGGTAGTTTGACTCGGCACGGAAATTAAGAAAAAAGAAGAAAACTTTTGAAACTTGTGGTCTTAAAAGCTTAAGGGGTAAAAAGTTTGTGGGACCATGACATTTATGTGGCTATAAAAGCTTCTCATTAAGGGTAAATGGGTAAAATAAAAGAGTTTAAAGTTGAATTATTTATAAATTTAGAAATATATCTTTTGTTTTGGAACAGACTAAAAAGGAAAGTACCTCATTTAATATGAAACGGAGGGAGTATATAGTTTCATAAGTGGAGTCTCAAAAGAATTATATGTATGCAAACTTTACCATTATCTTATAAAGGTAGAAATATTATTTCCAATAAACTCTCGACTCAAGAAAAACATAATTAAAATTTTCTAGAACATTTAATTGTAACCTATATACAGGGGTGGGGCCAGAGAGTCGATGCAGATTCGGCTGAACCCAGTAATTTTGGTTCATATCTTGTATTTATCTGAAAAAATTCATTAAATAGGTGTACAATTTATTAATGTAGAACCTAGCAACTTAATATGATTAGAATCTCGAACCCACGAACTTAAAATCCTGGCTCCGACTCTGCCAATATATGCAATATGTTAGTATACTATTTTCTAATTGAGATTTTGGTGACTTAGTGATATTATTTTTTTTTTACACATATATTCTATGATTGATAGTTTAATGTATTTTGGTTTTTTTCCTCTTTTGGAAAATGTGACATCTTTAATATATTTGCTCAAAGTTCTTATACTTTAATATATTGACATATTTATTGTTTCAATCTATGCGTCAGACTTACTTGACTTATAAAATAAAAGAATCCGAATTAGGTTTAGTGATAAAAAGAGTGTAGTCTGCTGCTCTGCAGAAGACAGAGTGTACTACTGTACCCCTAATTCGAGCAACAACTTTTACGGTCCCCCCTCTCTCCTTACTTTTACCATGTGGTAAAAGCAAATGTACAACGTAACTCCACGGTAAATGGTAATCTCTCACGTCCGCACCGGCCATAGCCGGTTTGTAGTAATATCAGTTTGGGTAAGAAAGAAAAATTAGAGTTAGAAATGGAAAAGTAAATGAAACCCCATGCAATAAATAATACTTTCTCCGTTTTAACTTAGATGAGATACTTTTCTTTTTAGTTTGTTCTAAAATAAACGACACAATTCTAAGTTTAAAAATAATTCAACTTTAAACTCTTTATTTTACTCATTTTATCCTTAATAAAAAGTTTATATAATCACAAAAATATCATGGCCCACAAAGCTTTTACCCTTAAGTTTTTAGTACTACAAATTTCAAAAGTCTTTTTTTTCTTAAACTACGTATCGAATCAAACTATCTCATCTAAATTGAAACTAAAGGAATAGATATGAACTCATAACTTTAAAATAAAGTGAATTCAATGATAAAAATTTTAAATATTAAACTCATAAAATTAATGCTTTTACTTACGATATAGCATTCATTATTATATATAGATTACGTAACATGATTAGGTGATGAAATTTATAGCTAAAGAAAATCATGGACTTCGAAAATCATCAAGAAGAAGAAGAAACTGAACCACCACCGAGTTACGACGACTCACTCAACAACTCGAACTCAACTCACCCAACAAAAATGCCGAGTCCTACACCAATGGAACTCGAACCCTTAGCGGTGGTTCACACGTGGCATAATAATAAGCCAAAGTACAAAGAGTGTCTGAAAAACCACGCCGTAAGTATCGGCGGCCACGCCGTAGACGGCTGTGGTGAGTTCATACCTGCCGGTGAAGATGGCTCACTTGATTCCCTCAAATGTGCTGCTTGTAACTGCCACCGCAATTTCCACCGTAAAATTACGCAACCACCACCCACCGCCGTTGAACCGCCGCCGTTTGTTAATTACCATTTGCCGTACTACAGAAGCTTACCGCCACCTTGTGGGTATTTACAGTACCACGTGGCGCCACAACAAAGACCGTTAGCTTTGCCGTCAACTTCTGGAGGTGGTGGGTATCGTGAAGATCAGGAAGACATGTCCAACCTCAACAATAGCGGAGGTATTATTTTTTTTTTCTTTAATTTTTCCTATATTATATTAGAGGATTAGGGTTGTGAGTTGAAGGTGATAGTAGCCAAAAATTTATACAAAGAATTCAAGAAAATATTAGATTTCCGCACCAGAATTTGAACATGTGACCAAAAATAAATTTTGAACTCTTTTGCTACTTTATTTTAGAAAAAAGTTGTCAAGGAGATTTCATAATTTATATGTAAGTCTCGGTAGTTAGGATTTGAAGCTTATAAGTTCGTGATTTTAGCCTGTTTAAGTTGCTGGATTCTAAATTAGTACGTTGTCTTTGCTCGATAGTAATTTGAACATATCCAACGAATTTCCTGAAGCCGTAACAGACAGTAGCTCCACCTTTGCTCGATAGTAATGTGAACATATTCAACGAATTTCTTTAGACAAACTGGTAGACTAAAGTTACTTTGTTCGATTGAAACCGTAATAGACAGTAGCTCCACCTTTGCTCGATAGTAATTTGAACATATTCACCGAATTTCTTTAAACAAACTGAGAGACCAAGTTACTTAGTTCGGCCGAAGTCGTAATAGGCAGTAGCTCCACCTTTGCTCGATAGTAATTTTTAACATATTCAACGAATTTCTTTGAACAAACTGAGAGACCAAAGTTACCTGGTTCGGTCGAAGCTGTAATCGACAGTAACTCCACCTTTGCTCGATAGTAATTGTCTAACTAATTTTGTTTAAAAGTTAAATGGTTATTAAGAATATCTTTTATTTACTTAATTATGTTTTAGCAGGTGGTTCGAAGAAGCGATTTCGGACAAAATTTAGCCAAGAACAGAAGGAGAAAATGCAAGAACTAGCAGATAAATTGGGGTGGCGGATTCAAAGGGAAGATGAGGAGTTGGTGCAGCAGTTGTGCAACGAAACTGGAGTGAGAAGGCAAGTGTTTAAAGTTTGGATGCATAACAACAAGAACACTCTTGGTAAGAAACCCTAGAACAAAAAGAAAAAGAAAGAAGCCCCATTATTTTTAGGTATTTTTGTTAATATTTATGTTAGATATTGACTACTTATTTTGTATCTGGAAATTAAACCACCTATCTTCTTGTTAGAAGAGGAAGACTTTGAAATTAATTTGAGATGTAGCTGAGAATGTGATCTTTATCGATAGTAGTTGATATTATTCGAGGCGGATTCAGGATTTAAACTATGTGGGTTCAAACTTTAAAATTATGAGTCGTACCTACTATTTGTTGCAATTTTAGTAGATTATATATATAGTTTTATACTCCTCATCCAAAATAACTGGATTCGGATGAACCGGGTGTGGATCCACCTACTACTAAGTTCTCGTTTGGCCATAGATTTGGGCTTTATTTTTAAAAAAAAAAATTGAAATTATAGTTTGTTTATGAAATATGATCATAATTTAGGGAAATTTTTGGGTGAAAATTTTTCGTCCGTTCACAAGACTTCTAATTTTTCTTCAAATAAAATGCATGTCCATATACAATTTTGACTTTCAAAAATACTTTTCAACACAATTTTAAAAACTATTTTTCAAGTTCCAATTAAATCTATGTCTAAACAACTAAATTTCCGTGCATATTGAGTGGGGAATGTTAAATGCATCATTGTATCTTTATTTCTTCTAGATTATATGTGTTCATAAAAGAGGTCAAATGGTAAACAAATCTGCTTGTTTTTTTAATTCCTTATGAGATTTTTCCTCTAAGAGGGTGATTTGATGCAAGCTAGGAAGCATAATTGATCTAAGCTGTCTTTCTGAAACTTGTTTTTCGTAGGACATGAAAAGTAAGTTGAAAACAATAACAACATAATGGAGTGTAAAATTACAAGTGGAATCTGAGTGTAATTTCATAAGTGGAGTCTAAATAAGGTAATATTTACGCAAGCTTACCCCTATCTTGTGTAAGTAAAAATGATATTTTGGATAGACACTCGGGTCATAGTAAGCTACTCTTTCGTTTTTCATATATAGCGTCGGGTTTATGTACTGTCTATCGCTTTTGCTTTGCATCTACTTTCTCATTTTCATGATGTTATTTTTCCTATGTTTTCTGTTGATGGTACTGATATTGTCTCTTTTCGTATTCTTGAGCCGAGAGTTTCTCTCTACTCCCTCGGGGTAGGGATAAGGTCTGCGTACACACTACTCTCTTCTGACCTCACTAATAGATTTTACTGGGTCGTTGTTGTCGTTATTGTACTCGGCTCAAAGTAAGCATGCATAATCACTCGAGAATAAAGAAAGAAATGTAGTAGTAAAAAAGTCAATAAAACTATATATATAAAGGTAAGAAAAGATAAAAATGGTACGAAAAGGAAAAAGAGTTGAGAAAATGGTTGCGTTAAAGCTTGCTATATACACACTAACAAAGAGTAATTAATAGAGCATAACGAAAGGAATTAACTTTTTTTTATAACGGTTATGTTTTAACTGGCGCAACCTTAAACTATCTCACCATGTATATGAGATTATTATTCCTTATCTCAACAATCAAACGACTCGTTACTTGGATGAATGATGATGAAAAATATTTCCATTTTCTTCTCGTAAAACTTTTTGGTACAGGCAGATTAGTATAGTTTATTTTAAAGAAAAATCAATATTTTAAAAAGAATGAAAATGATTGAGTTTGTCATAGGGGAAGGGGAAGTAGAAAAAGAACAAAGATGTTTGATCATAGATAGGTGTGCAGTGTTCCTAGGGAAGGAAAGGGCTGAAATAAACATAATTATTATATTGAAATTTACATTGTTTTGCATTTTTCTTGGAAATGAAATTTTGGTATTTGCAACAGTAAAGTCCATAATCTCAATATTACAAAAAGTCGATAGATCCAAAGCTTAATCCCTTTTCTCTTTTTCATCTTTTTTTCTTCTCTCTTTTTATTCTTTTTCTGCTTCTTCTTCTCATTCTTAACTTTACTTTTGCTTTTTTATGTTCCAAAAGGAACATGTGGGCACTACTGCAACATAGCAGTCGCATGCATTATGATATTCCTACATATTTAATTTTTTGCTTTGTACTTTTGTGTATTGAAGATATATTGTGATCAACGAGGGTTACGGTGGAGTCAGTAAGTATTTCTTTATTGTTAATTAGAGATTTTGGATTCAAGTTCTGGGTATGAAGTCGATTTTGTTAGGGAACGCATTACCCCCAACGTGAAACTTTTCGGTGCGAATTTGAATCTAGTCGAATTCCAACGCGGGTGCTTGACATCTGGTGAAAAATTGGAAAAAAAAACAAAAAAAGATCTATTGTGATTTCCTTTTTTCTCTACTCAGATAAATTAATGTATCAACATTGTGATACTGACTTATACAAATTCGTGTCGCATAAGACGCATTAATAGAAAAAAATTAATATTATTCAAGGCTACGTGAAACCTTTAATAAAGGATGAAAGTATTTTATTCTTCCTAGCACAATCCTTGATGTTCTATTGTAGCTTTTTACACTTGTGCTTGTCAATAGTGACCAAGGAATGTCTCTCCTTAAATATGAAAAGGAAAAAAAAATCCAATCATTTTGCACAAATTAGAATATTTGCATTTTTTTCAATTTTTCTCTGGGTGGGGGTGGATTCACGAATAATGAACAACAACGACAAACTCAGTGATGTCTCATAAGTGAGGTCTGGAGGGTAAGATGTACGTAGCTTACCCCTACCCTGGGAGGGTATAGAAATTGTTTCCGAATAATAGAAGCTAAGGGTTTGGTGGAATTAAAATCTTGCACATTAGGCCACAACTCCATCCTAATTCATCATTATAATTCAAGGAGATCTTACTCTAAGTATGACCTAACTAAATGGAGTAGTGTTTAGTTTAATACCACTTATGAAACTGTGCTAATTAGAGAATCACTTACAATTTTAGGAGATTTTATTATATTGCTATTAAATGTGTTTGATTAGATTAAAGAAACATTTGCTTAGAACAATATTAAGCTCCAGCTTTTGTTTCAGTTGTGGTTAACGGTATGTAATATATGCTTGTCTAAAGGTGCATCTAATAAAATACTTTTTTTTAGTTTAAGACCAGCACCTTCAGTTGTGAGCCTAGGGTGTGGGGGGTTAGGCTTGGACCCCAACCATGTAGATTAAATAACTTACAATGACAAGAGGGGGACATAGTACCTTGCCTCTAATCTACAAAAAGTTTGCCAAGCAAACAAGGAAAGGCAAGCCTATACAAAAGCCTTTCCATCCATAAGTCTAACTTAACTAAACAAAAAATTATATTTTTCATATCTCCAGCTAAAAGAAGGAATCTGCCATTTGTCAAGTTGAATCAACCCTTTTGCCTCTCTAGGAAGGTTGCTAGGAGAACGATATAAGGTCCTGTTTTCACTTGTGGAAGCCAATTTTGCCAACAGATCCGCAATTTGATTTGCTTCTCTTTACAAAAATCGGTATTGTCTAGCATGGTAGTAGTGTCATTGATAATGTGTTGCAGCTTCAAGTTGTTGGTGTTTTATTTGATGAGGATGTTGGTGATAATTACATAATCAATCTCCACATGAAGATTAGAATGACCATGTTGAGTGCACCATTCTATCCCGAATCTCGCTGTTGTGGCTTCAGCTTGAAAGCTACTATTGGCTTGGATCGGGACATAGAATGTGAATATGAAATCTCTATTGCTATCTCTACAATGCCACAAATCCCAGCTTTCCTTTTGCCTTAATAAAACTACCATCAGTATTAATTTTAATCCAACCAGGTGCTGGTTTGGTTCATTGAACAAGGGTACATATGACAACAGGTTTGAGCTTTTCCACTAATGTGCAAAGATGACCCCATGTGCCATTATTTTCAACATTAGGAAAAACACCATTTAGAACTGCTTTGATATTCCAAACACATTGAGTAATCATTCTATACAAATAGAAGCTATTGTTGTCACCATACTTACATGCAGCCCAGGATTCCCAAATCTCCCAACTGATAATAACAGGAAGAGCTTGCAATATCAGTTTGTATACTGTGTTTCTAGCCTTTATGTTCCACCATCTATTAAGAAGTCCTCTGATAGGTAAGTGTTGATGAGTGATTCCCAATGGATTGCCCATAGCTTTTCATACATACTCTGCTGCTCTACCCTCCACAAATACATGTTGCAAGATCTCCATGATAGGTGTTGGACAATATCTACAAACCTCAATTTCTTGAAATCCATCCTAGTAATATTCTCCCTAATGGGGATTCTACCAAAGAAGATCCTCCAACACATGAAAGATTGTTTGAAGAGAATGAATTTGTGCCATAATTTGTTGATTGTGACATTGATTTCTCTATGTTCCCTGATTATATTCCAAGCAGAACCATTTGTGAAGTGACCATCCTCCGTAGCATTCCATATAGCATAATCATTCTTGTTTTCTGGCCCAACTCTATAGGCATAATGTGGAGAGCAATTTGGCTTGGTAGTGTATTGCATAGCTTCTGCGCATCCCACCTATTAGTAATCATGAAATCCTTGACCTTATTTTTGGCATTGCTAGCTGTGATGTAGCTTGAACAAACTTGTTCCAAATGTCCCAATTCAGTCCGGTTGTCCCACCAAAAGCTACAGTTACCACCATTAATCCTTCAAGTGATCTGATTTTCACACTTGTCTCTGGCCTAAAGAAGATGTTTCCAAACTTGAGAGTTACTACTGCACCATTTCTTACCAACAGGGTGTACTCTAAGGTAGTATTTTGCTTTGAGGAAGTCAGCCCACATAGAATTCCTAACTCTAAAATGCCACCATCGTTTGACGGTGTTACATCTCGTGTTTTCGTACGTTAAAGTTTCGTCTTCAGTTAATCAACGTTGACTTGGGGATGAGATTATCTTGAGGTTAACGTATTTATGCTATTTATAACAAGCGATAAGTAAGTGTCATGAAGGATAAAGGGCACACGATTTAAAGAAAACGAGTTTCGTTGAAGGTTGCGGATTTGGGATAAAATACGTGTCGAGCGATACTACCCGATATTCATGGACTAGTACCATACAAGGTACCATATGGCCGAGATGTATAAAGTATATTAAAATGAGTAGTTTTTTTAGGTAATTTGAGATAATTCTTAATTATACGGGTCATTGGTTAATTATCGAGTAACGTGACATTACCTAGTTAATTAACAAATTTAGTGGATAAGATT